CAACTGTTTAACTGTCCCGCTCGGGGTGAATCCATATTTAGTCCTATTTGTATCATATGGCAAAGCGGACGCATAAGAGGACTGAACTACGGTATAGGCACATGACATTATTATTTATCCAGCCCAAACGAATGGAAGACTCGAGGGTAAATGAATCCTTCCCTTCCTCTTCATTCGCGTTCGCTAACTGATACTGAATAAAATTAGGAAATAAAATTAAGTTGAACTGGAAATGAACCTAAACTTCAGGATCTGGCTGAATTGGGAATCACCAAAAAGTCCGTTTTAAATCCCTACGTGCGCGTATGGCACGTTCGTAGAAATGGAAACATCACCAGTGATGAGAATTTGCAAAAAAACTTAAATCAAGCGTTGAGAAAACTTCAGAAAAGTGAGTAAAATTCAGCAGTTTATAACAGCCGGTGACAATGCTCCAATCAAACTACACAGATATATTATTGATCCCCTTGACAAATCTTGCACGTAACTTGAGTATTTTTTACGCATAGCTCACCAGCTGACATCCATCAAGTGACACTGGGGAGTGAACGAATTATTCAGCATGAAGACTGTCGGATGGGCCACGTGCGTTCCCAACTTATCGATTGACTGGTCAAACTAGCCAATCAATTGCCATAAAAGCGTTGCGGTTTTTGCTCGGGTCACGCGTGGAATTCAGGCAAATGATCTACCAGAAATGTTAGCCGATTCGGAATCCACGGACACCTTAGTCCTACAGAAGATGAAAGACGGTACTGACAGGGATGTCCAGGACACCGAGGGGGACCGGCTTTTTGAACAGCCAGAAAAAGCTTCAATGGAAAGTGTGGCGAAGTTAAACACATCAGATGAAGTGCCTGAAACTAGCGATGGAGACGGTGTCTCTACGGACGAGGAGCAAAGGGGAAGCGATGAACAAAGTGAAGTCCTGGACCATCGTACTTTAGGAGAAGATAGGCAACTTTACGCTGCGCTGCAAAGACTGCTTAAATGTACTGTCTGTTACGAACCACGTCCCGACACAAATCAGTGCAAAAACGGACACTTAATTTGCCGACTGTGCACCACAAGGTTGGAACGCAATGCTACTGCTGCCGCCAAGGCGCAATGTCCGACTTGCCGCATTACCTTGCATCCAGGACTTTCAAGGTGCCTTCTAGCTCAGCAACTGGCGTCAGAGCTGCCTGCTCCATGCAGTTTTTGTGGTGAATATTTTCGACAGTCGGAGCTTAATCGTCATGAAGGCATGGAATGCAAAATGCGACCCGTGAAATGTCGCTACAATATTTTTGGATGTTCGTGGAGAGGTCATTGGATTGATATCGAGAAGCACCACGAAGTTTGTTTCTATCCCAGAAAGAAGGTCCATGAAATAGAGCCTATCATTACGGAGTATATAAACAGGAAAACAAAACCGGTTCAGGACCTAAAACAGGCCTGGAAAGAGTTGTTGGGGAGCCTCGGGGATAAACCACGTGGCATGGTGATGAACTTAAAAGAAATTTGTTTGAGAAAAAAACTTCGGGAGATTGGCTCTTCGGAAATGAGTCTGGATGAGTTGTGCTTCACTGGCTCGACAAATGCGCTCGTACAGTTCGGCAGTCCAATGACCTGTATTGACGTCAGTTTTGACTCAGACGAAAAGAAAGTTCACTACCGTATCAAATTCAATGGAGGCCTAACTCCATCATTTCGGTTTAGATTGATTTTCTTCCACATCGGTGGGACAAAGGTGGACGTGCTGGATCATCTGCATGCTCCAAATACTGTCCCTAACACAGAATCACAACGATTCAGCTGTAATCTGCTGTTGGACGAAAAACAGGATTTTCTGTTGCCTAACAAACGTTTGCTAGAAAAGTCGGATCTAGATAAGGAATACGCATCAGCGAAGGTGGATATGCTCATCCTATACGACTTGAACCGCTGTTCACTTCGAATCACACCAGTTGAAGTGCACGAATGGACACCGGTTTGTACGGCAAATACTCAACCCTTCAGTAGTAGTGGGGTCAGACAAAACAATTATAGCGCTCAAGAGAGTAATGCTACCCTTTTAAACCATCACATTGGATCTGACAGTCCACCAACCACGGACCTAGAACCCACCTCTCTCTCCCACGCACTTGATAGGGGCAGTCTCGCAGGCAGAAGACCTAGCACCAATTGGCGCAATACTGCTGGAATGGAAAACCTCACAACAGCCGACCCCCTGCTACTCGACCTTAGTACACGCGGGGTAGATACTGGTGAGACCTCCAACTTCATAGCCCCTGCTCGACCACAAGAGACTCGTCAAGAGGTCATACAACAGAACCTTTTCGATGCGGATATGTTCGCCACACTTTCAAACAACAACGCTCTTGAGGAGGAGGATTATGAGGGGGACACTGTGTCCAGTGCGCTTGGTGGTGGCCTAGGGAATGTTGTTACTACAAGGCGTAGTGGTGCGAGAAGATCTGCGAGAACAGAACAGCTAAATAGCAATGACATGAGCCATAGGGAGCAACAACAGGACTACGAGCCGGAAGAACCATCGGAGACCGATGTGAACCGGCACAATGCTACTCGACGTAGGAGTACTCGAAGGTCGACGACACCGACAGTGCCGACACCAGGAAGGCAAGGACAACAGCGACGAAGACTGAAACTAGTGCGTCTTGATTCAGGCACCCAGACACTAGGGAGTAAGATAAACCATCGGTGGCTAGAACCTAAAGTAATTCGTAATGTCCCGCCTATGGAAACGAATACGTCGGCTAGCGCTGAGGCAGAACCTCATCTGAGTCCGAGCCTCGCAGCCAGACTCATTGGCAGTCTGCAGCGTATGGCACCATACTTATCTAGAATGCATTTGGCTAGTAATCTCCAGGTCATCAGCAGGCATTCACGACGGCCAGGAAGGCCAAAGGGATCTACCAGAAGAAACAGAGGGCGTGTCTTGGGACTGAGATATACACGCCATCTGGGACGCAAACGTGGAGCAGTAGGTCGGCGTTCAACCGCATCCAGGCGAAGCATACAGGTTACAAGCAGACAAGAACCCTCCGTAAATAGGTGGTTCAAACTGAATCCACTGGCTTTCACTCAGCCTCTGGTCTCATTCATGACCTCAGTGAAGGAGAGAGGCTGGCAGATTATGTCGTGGACCCGACGTTCAGCTCCTACTGAGAACACCGGCGCCCTTGATAACAGCAATGGAGCAGTTTCGAATGAGGGTACAGGAGCCGATCTGGCAACAAGACTGGATAACGTGTTGACAGTTGCCGGATCTGGCGCATTGGTTCCCTCGGAATGTGATTCAATCGAACTCGCCCAGCGTGCATTCAGGACGGATCCAATGTCGGAGATCGCCTAACTTTCTCCGTAGGACATTTTCTTGAGTGCATATGTTCGTGGTGGGTGTACTTTTAGGTTGTCTGCGGTTAACTTCAGCAGGATTGGAGACCACAGGCCGGTCCACTGTCTGGTTGTAACCCTTGAGACAATAAATGCAAATGCGAGAGGGGCTAAAATTAACGGTTACTATCGTCTAGCACTTTTTTTGTAAACTATTGTATCGAATTTGGGTTGTAATGGCCTACAGTGCGTGGGCCT